ATTCGAGCTCGGTACCCTACAAAAACAATTTTAGGGGTTTCAAATGTGTTTTTTCTGATAGAATATATTTCAAAATTCTGGATTTTTTCAAATTTTCAAATTTTTTCTATCAGAAAAAGCACATTTGAAAATTCTAAAATTGTTTTTGTTGTCTGAAACCTGTCCGTTCGCCTGTATTGTAACGGTGGCAAAACTTCCGGTCGCGAAATGTCCCGGAGCCCATGAATTGTATGAGCAATAAGAAAAATAGTCGCTGACAAAAGTTTTGGGCTTGTAAAAGCCGGCTTTTGTCGACAAACGCCGGCGTTTCACGCAGCCGAAAAAACGCGGGGTTTTTTTTTGTTTCGTCTTCCACGTGGAAGCTGCAGCCGCGGAGCCAAAAACGTGACAGCCGAGAGCCGGCTTCACGCCGCGCCGCCGGCGTTCAATTTTCCCAGTCCTGCAAAAGTTTCAGAAAATTTTTCCCTTACCTCACTTTCTTGAACCCACTTATTTCCCGGAACTTTCAAAATTTCCATTCCAGTCTCTTCTGCCTGATTCACCGGAGTTTCTGGCATTTTGGGGTCCACTTGAGGCCGATTTTCCTGTCTGAAAATGTAGTCCAACGTCTTGAAAACGTTTTTATGGGTCCAGTAAATTGTATGAGCAATGAGCAGCAAGTCGTGTCCTGTTTCGCCTATCTGGAATGTAGTTATGAGTTATTATACAAATCCTGATAAAGATTAGTATTATTTTAAAACTCGCCTCCAATTCATAATCGATCTGAAATTTGAGTCGGGTGACCGCTTGGAGCATGTTTTTATTGAACCGAATCTCGCGTTCTTGTGACCATCCCATTATAATACAATTCCAGATATCTCTTTCGGTACTTTTGGGTATTCCGATAGGAGATGTGTCCTTATAAAATGGGTCCAAGACTTCTTCAAGTCTACCAGATACTGGATCGTTTGGATGATAGATATTGTAGATTGGAAGATGCTCCGCAGTCTCTCTGAATTTTTCCAATGCTGCCTCGCCACGACGCTAAAAAAGTTTTGTTGAATTCCATACTTTTCGGGAAATTTTTTCGGTGGTTTTTGGTCCCGAATTTTGTCCCGAGACTTTTGTTCGGGAGTTTTCAGGGAAAGGTAGTTTCACAGCATTTATTTTCAAACGAAATTGCTAATTGAAAACACTATCCGGGAAAAACGGGATTCTCGATTTCTTGGGTACGACGGGATAGAACTCGGCGAAATAGAACCGCCACAAAATAGAACTGGGCGGAATAAAACTGCTACAGAATAGAACTCAAAATGCTCTGGAGCGTATTTGCAATTTCCGCTTTATCTCAGGTTTCAGATGAGAAAATTTTCTAAAAAACACATTTTCTGCTAGTAAAATACAATACTGTCTATTCAAAATAATCGCGCGGATGAAAGAGTAAAAAACGTGTAGAGGCGCTGTAGAGACGCAGACATTTCCACTCGTTCACTCGCGCGATTATTTTGAATAGATATTACATTTCACATTCCGATCGGTTCGATGTCGGATCTGCCCCCCGTTTCGAGAAAAACCAGTTATTTTTTTCAGCAGTTCTATTTTGTTGCAGTTCTATTCCGCCGAGTTCTATCCCGTCGTACCCCCCCCCCCCCAAGTCTGGTGAAATCTGAAAATGTTAAACATCTCAGAATAGCATTACCTTTAAATAGCGCCAAAGTGGAGACCCGACGACGAACAACTTATCTACAGATTTTTCGAACTTCAGCTGATCCGTCAACGATTTTTCAGAAAGAATATCGTAACAAATGACAGATCCCAAAGAATGCCCAAATAGGGAAATACGTCCATTAAATTGCCGATGATAACATAGGAATTTGGTGTAGAGGCGATTGATCTCGTCGATCACTTTTTGTTTGACCTACAAATTTGATTTACTTGAATTTCCTAATCTCGCTTCCCACCATCGGTCCGCACTGTTTGCAATTATACATCTTCAAGTCTTTGGTGCAATTCTCGATGTTCACCCAATTGACGGATGGACATTTGTGACTTTCCGTGTCTACATATAGATTGGTTCTCCAGTGAATTGGCATAAAAACAATACAGCTTTGATTTGCAGTGTGACTATTCACACCTTTGTTCAGTCTGAATTGTATAAAAGTGGAAGATGAGAAGTATACTTGCTCATCAAGGTTTCGACTAGAGTGGGGTTGGCAACGGGGCTCGCAATAGCGGGGCGGGGATCAGGGTACCCGATTAGGCTACACTGAAAATTTCAAGTCAATTGGTCCATTCAGTTACGCGTAACTACGAAAAGTATGCCGCCTCCCGTGGCGGGGAACGCCCCTTTTCGCCCCCAAGCCAACCCAAGAGCTATAGTTGGGCCTGTTTCGAGCAACTTGGATTTAGTTCTACACCCCAGTCGCAACCTTCCGTGGCGAGAAAACAACTCACCCCTGTGCACCGTCCACAACACTTTGAACGTTTCCATTATTCCATATCCCATGAACCACAAAAACCAAGTGATCCACTTTCGAATGATTTTCATTCCAGGTAGCTTTCTCTCGATAGTGCTGAAAGATATGACATTTTTTATAGAGCGATTCATGCGCTTATGTGGCGGCGCGGCACTTGCAAAGTATTGTAGGCAAATTGCAAATCTCGAGAGTCCGGATGCAAATGGTGTTCACACAGCGCATTACAATCCATAGTTTCATATTCATGGTGGCTTATAATTACCCGCACAAAAGTTTATCCTACCACAAAGTTTGAATGAGGCGTTGTACTGCGCTCAAATTTGGATTGCAACATTTCAGCTAATTCCTATCAACTTTGAGCTAAGTTATCACTCGTCAAAAATACTTCACCAACTTTCAGTGCAAATTAAACATCTTCTAACAGAAACCTAACTAAGGCGTTTCGGCCGGTCGAAAATCGCCGACCGCCGACCGACAGCCGATCGTTTTCGTGCATTTGATTCAAATCAGAACAGTGTCGTTCTCGAACAAGTATAGAGCGATTCAGAACAAGACAAAATCG